CCTCCCGCCGCGATTGCCTTCACGCGGCGAGCTGCGCCGACGACCTCAAGCCAGCCAGCCGGGGCGGCGGCCTACTGCGCCGACGAGCCTGGCTGGGCCTGCACCCGAGGAGGGCCGCCTGGTGGCTCCGCCCGCGCGTGTGCGACGGCCTGCCTGCGCCGGAGGCCTCCAGAACGGGGTCCGAGTGGAGGGGGTCGAAGGGTCGCTCCGCATCGCCGATGCATCGGCGACGTCGACGTGGAGAGCATCGAGCTCCACGTCGAGCTGCATCGTCGATGCATCGGCGATGCGGAGCGATCCTTCGACCCTCTCCACTCGGACCCCATTCTTACCAGCCTGGAACATATCCCTATCCCCATGTTGGGCATCGCCTCATCACGATGGCGATCTTAGGGATTTCCTGAGCTTCTGAGGGTGCATCCCTAAGATTGCCATCTCCTTTGGGCGTGTCAATCTTGGGGACAGGGATAGGTTCGATGCTGGTGATATTCGGGAGACCCAGATGCACGGAGGAGGCCGAACGCCGCTCCCGGCGCGCTGCGCACTCGCGGCCCTGCTTGCCCACCAGTGGCGGCCTGCCGTGCCGACGGCCCCGAGCCCCCGCGCAGGTCGGGCGCTCCGCCGGGAGGGCGGCCCGCGGCGCCGACGGGCTCCAGAGCCCGCGTCCGGCGCGGCGCGTCAGAGGCTTTGCTCGTGAAGCAGGGAGGAGGAGGAGGAGGAGGAGGAGGAGGAGGAGGAGGAGGAGGAGGAGGAGGAGCAGGAGGAGGAGGAGGAGGAGGAGGAGGAGGAGCAGGAGCAGGAGGAGGAGGAGGAGGAGGAGTGTAAACCCAAGACGCATCAACGATGATGCAAGCAAGCCCTCCCTCCGAACTCCCTCTTCGCAAGTCGCTACACGATGTTTATCCGCCGACCCCTTGTGGGTCTCTAGGCGTGTGAGATAGTTCCCCCCCATAATCCCCCCCCCCAGGGACCCCAAACCGGAGATTTGACCCCCCCCCCCGGGCCCAGTACGAGCGCGTCACGGGGCTCTTTTGGGCCCAAAAGGGGATCAAGACGGGCCCAGAAGGCTCCAAGAGGCCTCCAAGACGGCCCACGAAGGCCCCGAGACGCCAAACGAACGCTCCCACACGCCCAAGATGGCCCCAAGACGAGCCTAGAGGCTTCCAAGACGGCCCAAAAGGTCCCCACGAGGCCCCAAGAGGCCTCCAAGATGCGTCCCAAGAGGGCCCCTAGACGCAAAAATTGGCCCATTCCCTTCGTAAAACGTATGCTTTTCACAAATTCGCTTTCTGGGCTTTCCGACGCTCCAAGACGGCCCAAGAGGCCCCGAAGACCGCCCCAAGACGGCCCAAGAAACCCCCAAGAGGGTCCCAAGATAGCCCAAGAGGGCCCCAAGACGGCCCAACAAGCGTCCAAGACGGCCCAACAGGGCCCCGAAAAGGGCCCCAAGAGCGCTCCAGGAACGCCCCAAGTGGCCTCCAAGAGAGCTCAATATGGTCCCAGACAGCCCAAGAGCGATCAAAGACACCGAAGATGGCCTCCTGACGGCCCAAGATGCCCCCAAGAGGCCCCAAGAGGCATCCAAGATGCGTCCCAAGAGGGCCTCTAGACGCAAAAATTAGCCCGTTCCCTTCGTAAAGCGTGCGTTTTTTTGTTTTGTTTTCTTTTATTTTTTCTCACAAATTCGCCTTTCGGGCTTTCCGACGCTCCCAGACGGCCCAAGAGGCCCCCAAGACCGCCCCAAGACGGCCCAAGAAGCCTCCAAGAGGGCCCCAAGACAGCCCAACAAGGCGCTGAGACGGCTCAAGCGGCGCCGAAGACGGCCCAAGAGAGCCCCAAGAGGCCCCAAGAGCGTTCCAAGTGGCTTCCAAGAGAGCTCAACATGGTCCCACACGGTCCAAGAGCGATCGAAGACACCCGAAATGGCCTCCAGATGGCCCAACACGCCCCTGAGAGGCCCCCAAGATGCGTGTCGTGAAACGTACAATGTTCACACATCCGCCTTCTGGGCTTTCCGACGCTCCTAGACGGCCCAAGAAGCCCCGAAAACCGCCCCAAGACGGCCCAAGAGGCACCCAAGACGGCCCCGCGACGGTCCAATATGGCCCCAAGACGGCCCAAGAGGTCCCCAAAACGGCCCAAGAAGGCTCCAAGACGGCACCAAGAGGGGCCCAAGAGGGCAACCAACAATTCAAAAATCTAGCTTTCCGCCCCCACGAGCCCCAGGGGGCCCCAAGAGCGCCCCAACAGGCCGCCAACGGCCCTCAAGAAACCGCCAAGACGCCCCAAGGAGCCCACAAGAGGCCCCCAGGAGGCCCGCAAAAGACCCCCAGACGCTTCCGTATTGCGAGCCGTCACGCCAACTGCAATGCACTCCGCGCGTACAACCTTACTCTTCCTCGCGACGTGCTCACTATCTTGCTCGGCGCTAATGTGCTGCTGCCGCGCGAACTGTTTCGTGCGCGCTGCGAACGTCAACAGCCTCTTCACCCGTTTCGATTCATCTGCCACATCTTTCGCTGTGATGCTTCGCTGATCACAGCTTCCACACACTACTCTTGCTCCTTTCGTCTTCCAGTGCTCCTCCACTTGGTTGCGGGTCGAAAGGCCGACCTCCCAGAAGGACACCCCGCACCCGGGTGCACAGCACGCAAAGCGCTCGCAAAACACGCCCCAGACCACCGGCATCACGCAAACATTTGGACCCCCTACGTATCTGCCACCACCCGCGCGCGACACCGCACCCTCACACAAGACGCCGCTGGCCAGAAACTCCTGGCCTCGCAACACTCACAGAAGGGGTCGGCGGATGTGGCGTAAGCCCGTAGAGTCTTAATTGCGGGGAATGCACGTTTTGGAGACAACTGTTTGAGAATCCTGGGATTCCAGCGCCGCAAATCAACGTCACTGCTGCGTCTTGATAATCCTAATCCGTGTCAGAACACCACTCGGACTTTGGCCACACGAATCCTTGAAACAACTGCAAACTTTCAGAACGAATGAGCGGGGCGAGAACCACATTTTGAAACGGAGCCAACCTCCATCCGTGAAACCCATTCAAACTTTTCAGACAAATGTGCGCAGTACTAGAAACAAAAACGTTGAACCAAAAACACCCTCAATGCATGGAACTGTTGATAACTTCTGAATGGTTTGTGCTCGGCACTAAAAGCGAGAACAACATTTCGAATACGGCCCACCCTCCATCCGTGAACATGGTGCAACATGTTATAACCAATGTGCGCGGTTCTGAAACGAGAACGACATTTTCAAAACGGCCCACCCTTCATCCGTGAAACTGCTGCACAAAATTCTCCAAGATCATGAGAAATGCGGGCGTCTCAGGCGAAACGCCATGCTCGCACAACTGACACGTCTAGGGGTGTGACAGGGAGGAGTTGTTTATAAGGAAGAGGGATGGAGGAGGACGGGGGAAGCGAGGGGAAGGAGCTCTTATCTGACACCGGGCCACAGCAAGCGCGAGGGCCAGCTTAACAGAGGAGCACGGAGGTGCAAGCCCTGCAGAGCAAGTAGAAACAATTCGGGCTTGCTCGATGGAGCGCGTGCTGCCAAGCACTGCCCGCCAGCCTGGCACGTCGCTCATACCGAGGAAACGCCTAAGCTGCCAGGAGTTCGAAGGATTACGAGTACCTCGAGTGGGCCCTCGGGGGCCCCAGTCCATTCGGGGAGGAGGACGAGGGGAATTCTGTGTCCTGGGTTCGGCGCTCCACGACTCCGACGCGCCCCGAGAAGGAAAGGGAGAGCCAGAGGAGCGGGAGCGGCACGGCGACCGACCAGCACGATCGCCATCGGGGAACGAGCGGCCCATAGTGCGAGGCCGCTCGGGAGCAACAAGACATGGACACATGCCACAAGAGGAGGAAGACGGCAGATGACTAACGAGACGAGACGGGGAACGGGAGGAGGATGGGGGAGGTGCAGGGAGGAAGATACGAGGAGGGCAGATCGACGGGGAAGATCGAGGAGGACCGACGAACAGAATCCAAACCCAACCATGCGACTTCTCGTTTCTTGTCTTTTCAATCTGAGGTCCCCGGCAGTCCCGCCCTTTCCCCGAGGCCGGTCTGACATCTCGGGACGTTTCTCGGGTCGGGCGAACGGGGGGGATAGCAAAGGGGGGGTTTGAGAATCAGCTCACGTAGCTGATTTTCCCTGCGCCTCCGGGCGCCGGAGGCGGCTATGTATCGAGGAATGGGCCCCTCGGTGAGGCCGAATCCAGCTGCATGCAGCAAATTTCGTAACCCCCCCTTTCCCAATCCCCCCCTGTCGTCCGGCCCGAGTTTCTTGACGGTCCCGGGTCCTGGCGAGGGCCGCCTCAGAAGCCGAACAAGGCCAACCCCCCCCCCCCGTGGTTGTTCCTTGCTCCGCGACGCGAGCCCCTCGGGGAGGGGGGCTCGGCGAGGAGAGGCGAGGAGGAGCAGGCAGGAGGGTCGCCGAGGAGAGGCCATCCTCCCCGACGGGCGATCGCGGGGGGTCGGGGAGGATCGGGGGGACCAGTAGAGGAAAAAGACCTATGCACATGCACCGATTCTGGCCAGGCCCCTCCTGAGCCCAGGATCGGTGCGTGCGCCCTCCTGCCTTGGCCAGGAAGGTAGATGTATTGACCCTGGGTCAAGGATGGGCCTTGCCAGGATCGGTGCATGAGCATAGTTCTCTTCGCCAGCAGTAAGTCGGGCCTGTCCCCCTACAGGGGGATTTTTCGACGAAGAATAAAATATACCCAAAAAAATAATCAAAAAATTGTCCCCAAATAGCCTGGGGGCAATGTTTTGAGTTTTGTTTTATTACCTTGTTAGGGTATTTTCAAGAAGTATTTTTAATTTTTTGTCGACAATCCCCCTGTAGGGGGGCACGCCTGGCCTAACGCCAACATCGACGAGGAGAGGAGGATCGACGAGGGCACGTCGACGGTCGGCGAGGACGAAGCGGACCGACCTGGAGAGAGCCCCCGCGGAGGACGTCGGCCGCGCGCGCGGCTCCTCGAGGCCGGCGGGCCCCGGCTGCCTGGCGTCGCACGGCGCGTCCTGGCAGGCGAAGGCAGGAGACGCGTCGACCCCTGTTGAAGGGCAGAAGTGCAGACAGAAAATAGGATTTCCCATATTTTCCAATATTTTTTCTGGGTTTTTGTCTTCCCCCCCCAGTTCCCATATTTTCCCACATTTTCTGGGGAATCGACGAGGAATTGTGTCTGTGTGTTGTTCTCCCTCCTGACCTGTGCAGTCGAGCTTGGCTGGAAAGGACACGCGACCCTTCTGAGGGCCACGCTGCCACAGGAATGCAGAGGGCATGGGCACCTTTGCTTCAGAAGCGTCGACCTGATTTGAAGGGGAACTGGGACACACAAATAAATACACACAAATAAAAATATCCCCCATAGCTTCCCATATGTTGTGGGTTTTTGTCTTCCCCCCACTTCCCAGATTTTCCTATATTTTCTGGGAATCGCAGATTAATTGTGTCTGTGTGGTTTTTCCCCTCCTGATGATTACTAAGCAAACTCGGCTGCATCTCCGGCGTCATCAAATTTTCAAACAGACGACAAAGGGCGTCGATCCTCGATAATAGGGTGCGTCAGACTAGCACCAACTTCCAGGGGGGCATATCTCCGAGCCCCCCTCTTTTTTCCGAGCGGCATCTGACTGTTCCTGGCCCCCCCTTGGTGCTTACCACCGAGCCCCCTCTCTTTTCTGAGCGACTTGCGTCCCCACCCACCACGTGATGAGCTGCTCCTAACGTGGACCCCCGAGAGTCTCTCGACCCATTCCGCGGGACCGGCTCCTCATCCACGTCCGGGGTCCAAACGAGGGCCCCCGGAGGCTCAACGTACAGGCCTCGGAACAAATTAGCGAACACGTGCCACACTCATCCGTCGACGCCTCCCCCCCCCCCAATGTTCGAGGCTGGCGGTGGGCCTGCTGAGATGCACTTCGACCGCCGTCTCCCCCGCGCGTGCCAACCTCGAGTTTGGGGGGAGGGGCAGTGCTCAGTAACTCTTTCCCTTCTGCCGTAGCGCAAAGCCTGGAGGCTTGGGGGGGGGGGCGAGGCCGCCCGCCGCCGCCCGGCGCCTGCGCGAGGCGGGCCCGCAGCAGGCGCAGCACCTGCGCGGCGTGGCGCAGCGCCAGCGGGCTGCTGCCCTGCGCCGCGTGCCGCAGGTTGGCGGCCGCCCCCGCGACGGTCAGGCGCTCCTGCGAGGGGCAGCGGCACAGTCGGAGCAGGGACCAGAGCATGTGTATGTACATGTGCATATCTATATATATATATAAAGAGATATTTATATATAGATATTATATAGATATTACGTGCGGTAAGGTCGTGCGGCGTCGGCGCGCGCAACATGCGTTGACACCGCGCCGATCGTTCCACCTTGAACCGCTCGCGACCCCGATCTTTCAACGTTGAACTCCGTCGGGGCCGGTGGCGTTACCGTGTCCCTCGGTGCTTCCGCGTCGTTCTGTCGTGCGGAGATCAAACTTGAACGCCTTTGCTGGCGTCACTGGCGCGCAGTCGCCGCGTGAACCTACCGTAGCACCAGGCAATTCTGGATGAGAGCGAAGGGGCGGGCGCGGAGTGGGTCGTGGGTGGGCCGCGGGTGGGTCGCAGGTGGGTCGCAGGGTGGGTCGCGGGTGGGTCACGGAAGTGTCGACCGCAACACACAACAACAAATGACCACAAACCAGCAGAATCCTGGCCACGAAAATCCCAGTGCACCCACGCACCCAGTGATGGTGTAAGACAGTTCGGCCCCCTCACCCTGACAAGAACATGAGCCCCTCCGCTGGCAAAAGCAAAAACAAATCAGAAGGTCACCGAGGGTACCTCCCGAGGAGTCACCTGACCTTCACTGCCTGGCCTATCTGGGACGCCGTGGCGAAGCCCCAGCCCCAAGCCTCAATCATTCGGTCTGGCCCCGCGGCCCCGCAGCCCTCGGCCCAACAGCCCCCAACATGCGAGGGTGCTCGCCGTGGCGCCGGCATCGCCAAAGAGCGCGCGGTTGCTGGAGGCCGCACCCTGCCATCGGAGCCGAAGAACACAAGGGGGAGACCGGCTCCGTGGGGGGGAAGCCATCGAGCTGGAATCGGCGATGCATCGCCGATAGACCGACGACGGGCCACCGAGCCAGTCCGCTCGGCCATGGGCGGGGGTGGGCCATCGAGCCCCCGACCGGCGCGGAGTGGGCCATCGAGCCCCCTCACGCTGCCCCCGACTCCTGGCCCACGGCCCGCACCGCGCCGCCGTCCAAGCTGGCCACGCCGCCCCCGGCCTTTCCCGGCGCCCCAACCGGCGGAGGCGCGCGGGAGGGATCGGCTCCCAGAAGGCGGCGGCGCTGCTTCGAAGGCGGCGGCCCTCCCAGAGGGGCTGGGCGGCCTCTCGGACGCCCTCTCAGCAGTCTCGGGGGCCTTAGAACGATGCCCCGCCGCCTCCTTCGACACCCCGCCGCCGTCCCAGAAGCCCCCCCCCCCGCGCGCCGCCCCCTCGTGGGCGCCGCCGAGGGCCTCCTCGCAGAGCACCACGCTCCCCGCGGCGGGCGCTTCCACGCCGCCGGGCCCCGGCGCCTTGCGTTTGGGCGCCGCCGTCGCTCCCTTTGAGAGTCCTCCGGGCGCCGCGCTGTGGCTCGCGCAAGGGCGCCCGTCGCCCGGCTGCGGGCCCCCGGGACCATCACGGACAACCAGCCTCGAACTTATCCGTATCCCCAAGATGGGTACTTCATTAGTGAATTTAATTGGTTTTTGGGTTTTAACAAATGGTCGCAGCCACGCAGAGGGCGTGCGTAGCGACGCCCCAAATGCTCGGTCTCCAGTACTTCTGCGTGGCGGCGCCCCCGCAGGCACGCAGAGGGCACGCGTGGCGACGGGGGCGTCGCCACGCAGAGCTTCTAAAGACCAAATATTTAAAAAACCAATTGCTTCCACTACCAAAGTAACCCCATGGCGAGGACAATCTCGGGGATGCGCCCGCAGAAACCTAGGGAATCTCTGAGATCGGCACCAAGGCAGGGTGGTGCCAAATTTTGGGGATAGGGGCATGTTCCGATCTGGTACACAACGAGCGCGTCTTGATTACGGTTCTGGCGAACTTGCTTGCACGGCATTCCCCCGCGTTCATTCCGCCGCCTTCTCGAACAACGCTGAGCAGAACAGGAGTGCAAGGGAGTCCCGACGCACGTGAAGGACAGATGACCTTTCAGGTCTTGCTGCGCCAGGCCCCCATGCAAGCGAATTTGCCAAAGTTAAATAAAAACTGCTTCAGATCCATCCAGCACGAAGTGCGGCAGCGAAATGGGGTGTACATGGGCTAGGGCTCTGGCTGTACTTCCCTAACAAGAAAGAACTACATAAACACAAAACTTGTGGAGGTCAGCGCTCAGTGGACTCCCCTTGCTGGCGCGAAATCTGCGCTGAATTCCCAACTTTTATGCTTATGCAGCTTTTTCGTTTTCAAGAGGTTGCCCGGTCGCGTCCTCTTCGTCACCGCCTTCGTCCTCGTCGTTGTCGTCGCCCTCGTCCTCAACGTCGTCGTCGTCGTCGTCGTCCTCGAGTTCGTCGCCCTCGCCCTCGCCCTCGCCCGCGCCCTCGTCGTCGTCGTCGTCGTCAGCGTCGTCGCCGTCGTAGTCGTCGCCCTCGCCCTCGCCCTCGCCCCCGCCCTCGCCCTCGTCGCCGCCGTCGCCGTCGCCGTCGTCGTCGTCGTCGCCGCCGTCGTCGTCGTCGTCGTCGTCGTCGTCGTCCGGCGCCCAGGGCCCCCCGCCCAGCGGGGTGCGACGACGCTGCCGCTACACCCCCCCCCACACGCAGCGGCGGCTCTCGGGGGCGAGGCGGCCCGCCCGGCCTCGACCACGAGCCAGCACTGCGGCGGCGGGTGCTCCTCGCCGTGCTCGCCGCGCAGCGAGAGCCTGCCGACGGCCTCGACGACCAGCCAGGGCGCGGGGACGGGCCCCTCGCTGGGCCGCGCGGGCGGCTGCGGGGGCAGCAGCGGGCGGGGGGCGCCGGGCTCCGCCTGTGCCAACGAGCAGTCGCGCGCGGCGGGCATCTCCGCATGAGCCGCGCCCTCGCGGTCTGGACTCCCGGGCGCGATCCTGTGGGCCCAGCCCGCGAAGCCGCAGATACGGACATGTCCTCGTCCACGACAGAGGAGCAGAGCACGGCATGGGCGCTGCTCCTCGGGGGCCCCGCGCGGATGTCTTGGAGCGGCGATGGACGCCCCTGTCCCCAACTAGGGGAACAAAAAGTGGCATAAGCATAAAAACTCGGAGGTGCGCGCGGGCTTCTCGGATCGGCGCTGGACTCCGCGCCAGGGGCGGCGCCGGAGGCGCCGCCGGGGGGCCCCCGCGCCGATCCGAGAAATCCGCGCGGACCTCCGAGTTTTTATGTTCATGCCACTTTCTGTTCCCCTACCAACGCGCGGAGCGCGGGGGGGGGGCCCTGGCGCCGGTCCAACAGATCCACGCGGACCTCCGAGAGACAGCGCTCAGGTCGGGCGTGTCCCCCTATACAGGGGGATTTTCGACGAAGAATAAAAAATACCCCCAAAATACCCCCCAAAAGGCCAAAACTACTCCAACAAGGCAACACAAATACACCAAAAATATTCCAAAGATCAGCAAAAACACTCAAAACATAGGGGGGCACGCCCGACTTCAGACAGCGCTCCCGTGCCGCTCGCGCCCCCCTCGGGGCCTTGGCCAGCTGCAGGCTGGCGGGCCACACGCGCGCCGAGGCCAGGTACCTCTCGGGGTGCGCTCGACCAGGCCCCAGGCGAGGGCCTAAGAGGCCTCCTGGAGGGGGTCGGAGCAGATTGAAGGGGCCCCAGGACACACACATAAAAACACACAAGTAGCATGACTCCCCATATTTTCCCATATTTTTTGAATTTTTGTCTTCCCCCCCACTTCCCATATTATCCCTTATTTTCCTGGGAGTGGACGATTAATTGTGTCTGTGTGTTTTTTCCCCTCCTGACAGATGGGGTAGGAGGATCGAGCCGCATCGCCGACACATCGGCGATGCATCGACGACGCATCGGCGATGCAACAGCGATGCATCGTCGACGTGGGCGATGCATTTGACTACTTACCAGACCACCCCAACCCAACCCGAAGACCCGAATTTGAGCCGAATTTCGGGTTGGGGGGGGTACGGGTTCCGTGTGTTTTTCCAACGTTCCCCGACCCCCCCCACTGGAAATCGAGGATACATTTGGACCTTCGGGTTGGGTTGGGGTGGTTTGGTGGGTGGTGAGCATTGGCGCCGTCGACGTGGAGCAAATTAGGCTCCACATCGAGCCGCACCGGCGATGCATCGGCGATGCGGCGCGACCATCCGACCCCATCTATTCCGACCCCATCCGGGAGGCCCAGAGGGCCGGTGCCATGAAATCTGGGGAGACATATCAAAATCTGGGACGATATCACGACCCCCACCATGATATCCCCCCCGGTCATCACCCCCCTCTTTGAGCAGGGACCGACAGTCCTGGCATTCCGATAGTCCTACCACGACATGTCGTTAGAACCCAAACATGTTCTGATAACAAAAACACTGTTCTTAGAACATAAACCCGATGTGTTAACATAAGACGATCTCAACCAGAAATGTTGTCTCAGAACATCTCTTGGAGATCACAAAAGGTTCCTAGAACATTGCTTGGCAGGGCTATCGGCGAGCCAGGAATCACCCCTCTCTTGCCCCCACCCCCTCGGCAGCGGCCAAGAGGGGGGTGTCCAAGAGGGGGGGGTGCAAATCATGACCGGCGGCATGTGCGCGGCCCAGCGGGGGGGCCAGGGACGTCATGAAATGAGACGAGGCGCCATGAAATCTGGGGAGATATCATGGCCCACGCCATGATACCCCCCCCCCCTTGTCATCACCCCCCTCCGCCCCCTCCTCCTCCTCCTCCTCCTCCTCCCTCCTCCTCCTCCTCCTCCTTTCATGCCCCTCCGCCTCCTCCTCTCCTCCTCCTCCGCCTCCTCCTCCTCCTCCTCCTCCTCCTCCTCCTCCTTCCTCCACCCCCACCCCCTCCTCTCCTCCTCCTCCTCCCTCCCCCCCCCTCTTCGCCGCACCCGACCCTCTTGCCCCCCCCCCCCCCCCCCCGAGCACCTCGGGCTGCACTCCACCGGGCCCAGGGAGGGCCTGCGCCTGGGGGACGCGCCGCCCCGCGGCGCCTCGTGCCGGGGCGTGCCGGGCGCGGGCGCCGTGGCACCGTACACGCCCGCCGCCTGCAACAGCCGGCCCGCGCGCCGGCTGTGCATCTCCAGGGCGGCGCCCTCGCAGGGAGGGCGCCGGCCGCGCGCCCAGAGCTCCTCCCCTCCCCTCCCTCCCTCCCCCTCCCCCCTCCCTCCTCCTCCCTCGTCCTTCTCCTCCTCCTCCTCCTCCTCCTCATCCTCCTCCTCCTCCTCCTCCTCCTCCTCCTCCCCCCCCTTCCCCCCTCCTCCCCCCTCCTCCTGCTCCTCGACGTCGGAGGCTGAGGCCCGCCAGCGGGCCATCGGGAACGGATCGGGGATGAAAAGCGGGCGGGGCGGGGGCTTAGGAAGAAGCGCCGGTCGGGGGATCGATCGTGAGGCACGTCGGCAAGCGTCGGAAGGAAAATCCGCTCCCCCCGGGGCGATGTCCATGTCCACCGCCTGCGAGAGACCCGACGATCGATCCTCACAAGTCGTGTGTTTGTTTTTCCTTTATATGCGAGCAAACGAGGAGTGGATTCCAAGCTGCACACGCTCAGCTGCCACACGATTCAAAAGGTCGCCAGGAAAACCGCGTACAACTCACGAACCGACCTGCGATGGACAAACTCGTGAGGTGAAGCGCGGCCTGAGAGAGAGAGAGAGAGAGAGAGAGTGAGCGGACGTGCGAAAGGTAACGAATTCCCCTCCCTGCGGACAGCAGGCCAGAGGATACGTAAGACGATGCACCCCGCATGAAAAGGTATTGTTCTCTCTGGAGTGGGCAATGTCTTTGCCAAAATTGCTTGTCTCTGTCCATGGTCGGCGGGTCGAGAGCGGGCCTCTTCTGGTTAAGAGCTAGGCGGGGCGCGCGAAGCACTAATTGGGGAGTCAGGGCGCGGGCGGGCGGGGCCTCAGGCGGCCGGAGGGTGCGGACGGAGTACAGGCGGTGCCGAAAAGCTTGCACAAGAAAAGGTACACCTTGGACAGGACCCGGGGGTGAAGTCCCGGAGGGAGGGAAGGCGGATGAAAACACGCAGTGTAACAAGAACCCTATTGGCTGGCCAAAACGGCCACGCAAATAATTCCAACACAGCATGAGATGAGAGAGAGGCGGAAGATGAAGAGGACGAAGAGGACGAGGGGGGACGGGGCAACGTGAATGCCAGAAACGGCCGACACGCACACATGCAGCTTGACCCCTGGCCCACAATGGATGAATCCCCTCCTCGGAAACTGCCCCTGGAGTCGAAACCTCTGCCGCACAATGACTAGATCACACCGTCGGGCATCTGGGCACAAGCCACAGCACTGGCCACCGTCGCAAGGCCCATCTTGCCCTGATCGTTCGACTCAATTTTTCTGGTCGCGACCGACGAGATCGATTCCTACCGATGTTGCTGAACATTCCTGTATCGGTCGCGACCGATTTGCTTCAAAATGGGTCGCGATCGATTCGACGCGACCGATCGGTCGCGACCAGTCGCGACCGATTATCGAATCGGTCCGATGGGTCGAGACCGATAAGGAATGCCGATTGGTTGCTACCGATCGCGTCCGATAAACAACTGGTATCCAATGATTTGGAAGGGCGGAACCGCTGGAGCCGCACAGAAGCAACCATATCGTCGGATATCTGGTCACTGGCCACGAGAAACCGGCCACCGTGGCCGGGCCAGCCCTGGGCCAAGGATCGGGCGCCCTGCTGGCTTCGCCAGCGAGGGCGCTTACATCGGTCCCTCGTTGACGAGGGTGAATAAATACACATGCACACGTGCACACATACATAGAACTTGTAGATCTGCATAATAAAACGAACAACAAGCACAACAACAATGGCGGAGGACGAAACGCGCGCCTTCTCCCAGCACCTTTCGGGCCCGCGCTGAACATTCGGGAGGATTTCGCGAAGGTGGCCCCGAAGAGGGACCCGTTCTTGGGGCCCTGCAATCCTCGATCCCTCTCCATTTACTGACTACCTACCAGGCCACCCCAACCCAACCCGAAGACCCGAATTTCGGGTTGGGGGGGGGGTAAGGGTTCCACATGTGTTCTTACGATGTTTCCCGACCCCCCCCCACTGGAAATCGAGGATAAATCTGAGCCTTCGGGTTGGGTTGGGGTGGTTTGGTGGGTGGTGATTTACTGCCACCCCGCTGCGAAGCGCCCGATCGCAGCACGCGCGAGCCCTGGCGCTGGGACCAGCCCACCCGCATGCCGGGGCGCCGGCGCACGGCGCTTCCAACTGTCATCCGGTGTCTGCGGTGTGTGTCTCTCACAGCCCGGCTGCACGCAAGAGTGGCCCTATCCAAGGGTGACCTTTGCTGCGCGGCTCGAAGGGGACGCGGGGGCCAAAACCTGAGCGCGCAAGCCGCTGCTACCGCATCGCACTCAACTATCGGGGGTGGCTCTCCAAAGGGTCTGGACCCCTTCCCCGGGACTGGCTCTTCATCCCGAGCCGTGCTTGGACGGCCCCGAAGCCCAATTCGAGCCCCCAAAGGCCGAAAAACGTCAAACACCACACGACATGATTCTTTCGCGACAGCGGATGGCAGGCTTTGGGGGTCCAAGCAACATCCTGGACCGGTTCTGGGGGGCATTCTGGCCAAATACTCCAGGCGGATACCGCGGTGGCGACGAACAGGCGCCTGGCGTGTATCGGCTCGGAGCCGGAATCGAATCGGCGGCGCAAGGATGCACCACAGCCCCATGCGAGCATCGAGCCACATCGCATCCCCGAGAACCGAAATCGAATCAAATCGGGCCAGTCAAAACCCATGTCGAATCGGATCGATCAGATCGAATTGCTGGATGGAGGCCCAGAAAGGACCCCCAGGACCCGAAACCTGCCGAAACCTCCCGACGCGATGTTTCCACGGCGTGAGGATGCCAGGGACACTTGGAAGCGCCTGCCTGCCCGCCTTTCCCTCATGCACCCGCCGATGTTTCCTCTGTTTTCAATCCGCGGCCCCAGATGAGGTATCGTCTGCTTCCCTGGGTTAGCTTGTTTTCCCAGATCCATGCTTGACGACAAACTACGTGTCTGTTGGTGTTGCGTTGGCTCGTTAGGTTCTCGACACTTAGAACAGCTCGAGCAGCTACAGACCTCTTACGCAGACGCATGATCTAGAATGGCCAGAAGCAGAACACTGCAACCACGAGGGCGCCGGGTTCGTTGCGCTCAGGCCCAAAAACGGCACCCATATACCCTCAAAGCAAAGAAACAAAAAGCTGGGTGTCGTGGGCGAAAAAAGATATCCGTATCCGCGGCCTCGAGGGCCAAGCCAAGCCCCTGGGCCGCCAGGATCGGGCCCCAGACTCCCAGACCGCGAGGGCGCGGATGTGGATATGCTCGCCGCTCGTGATGTCGAAGAACCGTAACGTCGATAATCTGCGGCCGCACCGTAAACAATTCGAGGCGGCCGGATGGTCTGAACTTGATGGGCCCCGACAAAATCTGTCAAGAAGGGGGATAAGGAGATACCCGCTCAAAATCGGTCCTATACCCTTACGGGGTCCATTTGGTGCAATGTTTCACCCCCGATCCGTCTTCGATGGTCCCAGGCCCGCAAACGGTTTCCAGAGGCCAGAATCCTTTGTCGATTGTTATTGGTATTATTATTATTACTACTACTACTACTATTATTATTATTATTATTATTATTATTATTAGTCTTATTATTATTATTTCCCCCCACAGCCAAAGAGGGGGTGCTCGTTTTCTCTGGGCACCTCCGCGCAAAAACCTCACCTCCCTCCCACTCTCCGCCTCACTCACGCATTCACCATGTCATCGGTCATCATCACCATCGGCCATCATCATCACCACCATCATCATGCTCAGTCACTCACAATCAATCACGATCAGCATCGGCCATGGATCATCATCGTCATCACTCGCCCACTCATCACCTCGTCATCACCCACCCCCTAGCCTGAACACGGAGGTATCTCGAGCGGGAGCGTCGTCTGTGACTAAATTGGGAGGAAGTCGCAGGCGGGAACCTTCGTCCTATGAGGCCCGCGCATCATGCTTCTAATCCGAACGGGTCATCCTCAAACCTGTGAAGGTCGTCACATTTGGGCTCCTGAGGCCTGAATACGGGGGAAGTCTCGAGCGGGAAACTCGACTGTGAGTGAATTGCGAGGAAGTCTCGGGCGGGAGCCATTTCCCTATGGGCCCCGCACTTCATGTTTTTAATCCGATCGGGTCACCCTCACCCGTGTAATTGTTGTCACCCCTGGGTTCCTGATGCCTGAGAATGGGGGAAGTATCACGCGGGAGGCTCGTCTGTGAGCGAACTGCGAGGAAGTCTCAGGCGGGAGCCCTCTCCCTATGGGGTTCGCCGCTCATGTTTCTAATCCGAACGGGTCATCCTCAAACCTGTGAGTGTCGTCACGCTCGAGCTCCTGAGGCCTGAATGCGGAGGAAATGTCGAGCGGGAAGCTCGTCTGTGAATGAATTGCGAGAAAGTCTCACGCGGGAACCATCTCCGCATGGGACCCGCAGCTCACGTTTCTAATCCGAGCGGGCCGTCCTCTGCCGTGTCACTGTCGTCGCTTCTGGGTCTGTGAAGCCTGACTTTGGAGGAAATCTCAAGCGGGAGGCTCCTCTGTGGGTGACTCGCGAGGAAATCTCAAGCGGGAGCCATCTCCCTATGGGCCCCGCACTTCACGTGTCTTATCCGAACGGGTCATCCTGACCCTGTAATTGTTGGCACTTTTGGGCTCCTGAGGCTTGAACATGGGGAAGTACCCGGCGGGAGCTTCGTTTCTAAGTGAACAGTGAGGAAGTCCTGGGGCCCGCAGATCATGTTTTCGAGGAAGTTTCAGGCGGGAGCTCCCTCGTCATGGGGCCCGCACTTCGTGACTTTAATGGAATTATCAGGCGGGGAACCTGGTGTGTGAGTGAACTGTGAGGAGTCTCAGGCGGGAACCCCTCCATATGCAAGGGGCGATTCGCCCGACCCATCAGGCGAGGAGGACGAGGAGAAACAGGAGGTGAACATGACGACGGCGGCCGGGCGCAGGGGGAAACCCTTGCGTCCGGACCTGGGGTGGTAACCGTCTGAGCGCGGCCGTGACTAGTTCGGTGCCTGCGGGGTTGTCCCAACGGCTTGCTGCTGCGCCCCAGCGGCTAGCGTGGTTGCCTCAACGGCTTGGCCCGCGGGGTTGTCCCAACGGCCGCGCGACCCGCGCTGGCCGAGGCGGCGACGGCGTCGAGGAGAATCGGCGCGCGCTCTCTTGCAATAGACAAGAGAGGAGGTGGTGGGTGACGAAACAGACAACAGGAGGGCGAGGCAAGGGCAACGCGGGGAGCGGGCGAAGGCCCTGCGCCAGAGCGAGAATGATAATGACGCAAAGTAGACGACAATATTAGTATTAGTTTTGATACTTTTCTTCCTAATTACTATCAATGCTATCATATATTTATATACAATTACACAAAGAAAACGATCCGAACCCCGAGCCTTGAACCTCGCCCTCACTTCCTGCTCGCCGGAACCAATGCGAGGCTTCCTCAGGCCCCCGCCGGTTCCAGGTTGGCACAGCTCCCCCGGGCCTCGCTGTCGCGGGGGCGGGCCGCCCGCGGCGAGACCGACTGCAGGGACGCCGCCGAAGGCGGCGAGATGAGCGGCGAGGCGCCCGCGGCAACGGCGCTCCCGCAGCCTGCGGCGCCGGCGCCCCAGGCGCCCGCAGCGCCGCCGTCCCGCGGGGTGCGGCGCCTGAGGCGACCGCACGCAAAGATGGGGGGCACCAAGACCTCCTCCTCCTCCTCCTCCTCCTCCTCCCTCCTCCTCCTCCATCTCCTCGTCCTCCTCGTCCTCCTTGTCCTCCTCCTCCTCCTCCTCCTCCTCCTCCTCCTCCTCCTGGTGTGGCCGCACGGTCTAGCTCGGGGCCCCGGAGGCCTGGTCGCCCGAGACGTTCCCGGAGGACGGTCCGAGTCACAGAGCCGTGGGGTGGCCCCGCCAAGCCCCACCGACCCACCACGCGGTGCGGTGGCCGCACCATTTTCGGGAAGACGTAAGACTAGGGTACGGGAGACTCTGGTTGGCCTGGCGGGGCCATCGTGAAAATGCCGAGACCCAGTCTGCAATTTGACGCGAGCTCCCGCTGCAAACATCCCACGCAAACTGGACCGTCAAAATCCAGGGCATGGCTCGTCAAAAAGCGAAGGCGAACCCGAATTTCGGCGTACTCGCGTCTTACGTCGCCCCGACATTTGGGGGTTCCCGGAACGAGAGGCCCTGGGTATCCCCGCGTTGTGACAACAATCACGGCGGCAAATTCACGGCGGTGTTTGGCGCCCGGTGGCCCTTCTTGGGCTCCTCGTCGACACAGCCGGAGTTTCGAACCAAACGCACCCAAGAACACAAATCCTGGGATGCGCTTTTGACCCCCAAGCCCTGATATTGCCGAGCTCCCCGCGTCGCGAATGCATTAGGACGGAAGTTGTTTTTCCACTTCTGGCCTCCAGGGGCCCTCGCTGGGGCATGGGTCCACAGCCACGTTGCCAAAGCAGTGATCACGCCGGGGGCGCTGGGAATCGGCCGCACGCCACGAGCCAAGAATGATCTCTGGCTTGCCTTGGGCGGGTGGTAATGGGCAGTGAACCAAATGTTCCTCCTCCTCCACCTCCTCCTCCTCCTCCTCCTCCTCCTCCTCCTCCTCCCCCTCCCTGTGGGGCCACGAAACGCTGCCCTGGGCGGGGGAACCGCATGCGGGCACCCCCACTGGGGCTTTCGGTGGAGCTCCCTATGGGGCCACGAAGCGCTGCCCAGGGTCGGGGAACCGCATGCGGGCACCCCCAGTGGGGCCTTCGGTGGACTCCCTATGGGGCTACGAAACGCTGCACTGGGTGGGGGAACCGCATGCGGGCACCCCCACTGGGGCCTACGGTGGAGCTCCTTATGTGGCCACGAAGCGCTGCCCAGGGTCGGGGAACCGCATGCGGGCACCTGGGGCCTTCGGTGGAGCTCCCTATGGGGCCACGGAACGCTGCCCTGGGTGGGGGAACCGCATGCGGGCACCCCCGCTGGGGCCTTCGGTGGAGCTCCCTATGGGGCTACGAAACGAAGCAAGGAGGGTGAGGAAGGAGGAGGGGGGGTGGGGAGGAGGGGGGAGGGGGAGGAGGAGGCAGGAAGGTGGGACGCGGGGCGCTGTCTCTTCAAAACGAGGACCCAACACCACAGGATGGTTGGGAAATAATCAAAAAATCGTCTGGGGAGTATTTTTTGAATATGTTTTGACCTTTTTGGGGTATGTTTGGGGTATTTTATTATATTTGTCGTCGAAAATCCCCGTGTAGGGCCGATTGCTGCATGAGGTGTGCCAGGGTTTGCCCCTCCCCCCCCGCGCCTTCAGGAAGCTGCACATCATCCGGCGAAGGATCGCTCGGCTTTCGGGGCCCGGCTCGGGCATCTGGCGGCCGCTCGGGACAACTTGAGCACCGCCAGGACGCCCGCTGGAGCGCCCTCGGCGCGGCGCAGCTGCTGGAGAGCCCCCCGAAAAGCGCTCACGAAAAGATCACTCCCCAGACCGCCGACGTCATGATTTGCTCACTATGCCGTTTCCCCAAGACTGGCTGTTCATCCTGAGTCCTTTGTTGACGGTCCTGGGTCTCAGCGAGGACCTCTGGGATGGCCGAAAATCTCGCGCCGTGAATCTTTCGCGGCGCGGGGATGTCAGGGCTTAGGGGTAACAAAACTCACGAACATGTTCTGGGGGGCGTTCTGGCTAGAATGTCCAGGCGTACACTGTCGAGGCGACGAGGAGCTCCCTGGAGGCCCCAGCAAGCGCCCTGGAGGCCAGACATTGTCCGAAACTTCGCGTCGCGATCTCTTCACAACGCAAAAAAACATCAGAGTAAGGATCACTGTGGCGAAGCGCCACTTCCCTGGGGTCGTTTGTTCGCCCCGGATCCGTATGTGAGGCCCCCAGGGGCCGAAATCAATAAAAATCACGCCATTATTAAAACGATCACATCGTTGGAGATGTGCGAACACCCCCCGAGAAGCGCAGTGGAGGCGCAAATCCCCACCGAGGGCAGCAATTCTTGCCCACTGAAGGCAGAAGGCTGCTTGCATTCAGTGAGGGCGTGAGCTCAGACATTTTTGTTTGCAGTGAGCAAAATGTGTTCGCCGTCAGTGAAGGTCACTCCTTTGCGAAACGTTACGCTCTCCCGCGGCAGCCCTGCCTGGGCGACGCCAGCGAGGGGGGCTGCAGCACGCCGGTGCTCGGCCGCTTGCGCTCGATCTCGCGCGAGAGCTGCGCCTCGCGGCCGGCTGGTGTCTTCGGCGAAGAGATCGGGGGTCAGGGGCATGGTCAGAATTTGTCTGTCCTCCAGGAACCCAGTTCCTATCGAGACGCGCTCTTGGCATGAAAACGGTCTGCCACGCGACAGAGCAGTGACGAAGCTAAGTCATAACAAGCAGTTCGTGGGAGGCGCAGCCACATCGCAGCTGTGTAGAACCCCCCTGACTGTGGGGAGGCACCCGTCTGCCGGGCATGCCCAGGGTCAGATAGTGAGGGGGCCGAACGGTCTGACACCCCTGGCGAGCGGCCGAAATGTGACTCCGCGGCGCGGATTCTTGCTGTTGTCTTGTCGGCTTCGTCCACCACGCGACCCACCCGCGACCCGCCCGCGACAAACCCACGCTGTTTGACGAGAGAATCGGCGCCTGCGGCGGGCTCGTTATCTAGTGGGAAAAATCAGCGCCTGCGGCGGGTTTCTTCAGAACCTCGCAGCTTGCCGACGACCCCGCCGCCCCTTCGCTCTTATCTGCAACTGCGGGGAGTATGATAGAACTTAGATGCTCACCCTGGAGACCTTGGAGACACTCGCTCCACCCACGACCAGATCCGTGATGTGGGCCCGCAGGTTCCCCATACCGTCGGGGCGTTGACCTAAGGAACCCAAAATAAGGAACGAGGCCCCTTTTCTCCAGAAGATAAACTTCGACCTCCCATTGAAAACCTAAGAAAAACCTGAGGCAAACTGTGAAACAATCATGGAACACCGAGCCCCTCCCCAACGAAAAGGGTTCCTTCTTCAACGCCCCGACTGTACTGCAAGAATCTAATAATGCTTCTTCGAACGACCCCCAACCAAGACCGTGCCGGATCCCCAGGGTGACCAGGGCGAGGGTGCCAAGACGAAAACGAGATCGGAGCGAACTCGGATCGGCAGAAAACCGGGGGATCCCCAACGGTTCTCGAGGATGTATCGAGCGCCGCGGCCGTTCCGGTCTGGGGCGCTCCGAGGGCCCTCCGAGCGCTCTGAAGCGACCGAACCCGATCCCGAGCCTGCCCGGGAGAGGTCGGGGGCAGGGCCACGCTTGGCACACCTTGAGGCAACTGCCCGGAGGCCTTCGCAAGAACGAGGAAAGGCCATGAAGCCCGATTCGGTGAACGCTAGGCCGGGTTACAGTAAGGGGCTCGACCACAAGAAACCTCCCACAAGACGCCCAACAACCCTGAGACCCCAGAGGGCACCTGATTCTTGGTGTGGGGTGGGCACATCACGCTTGTAACAGCGAAACCATCGAAACCCGACAAACCCAGGGCACCCTGGAGGCAAGCAGGCAGGGTGTTTCTTGGCATGGGTCTCTACTGCAGGCCAGATTCAGCTGGGGATGAAGCCAGATTAAACGGGATTCTGACGATTTTACTGCGATTCTGCAGGTTCACGACCACGGATATATCAGCACCGATGCCGAATTCAACATCCCAAGAGCTGCTGGCTAAAGGCTAAACTATGTCTGCAGCCGCGACTCCGCACAGTATGTATAGGACACTCTTCGGGGGGAGGCCCTAACATCCCCGCGTCGTGCAACAAGCTCGACGGAAAATGTTCGGCAATTTTCGGCCTGCGGGAGCCCCTATGCGGGCACCGAGGCCGTCAAAGAATTGCTTGGGAAGAAAAGGCACGTCGCAAACAAATCACATGACGTCAAATGTCTGGAGAGGATGCGGGATCAACGTCCAGCAAGCGTCGAGAAAGCGCCCAGTTTGGAGCATAGGAGAGTCCAACGGCCGCCTCCCAACTGATTCGAGACCAGAAGGGTTGGGTAACAGATTTAGGGCGCACCGAACTTCGGTCGCGACCGGAGCGAGTGTAATTTGGTGACGAAGAGACGGCGCGTCAGGGTTCAAGCGAGGGTTGTGCAGACACGCAGGACGGGACACGCTTCGGGGCCCCAAAGGGAGCTCCACCGAAGGCCCGGATGGCAAAATTCGCATGCGGCACCCGCCTCCGTGTCAGCACACCCCTCGCACGCTTCGTGGCCCCATAGGGAACTCCACCGAGCGCACTCGTGGCAGGACTGGCCTGTGGTACCAACCTTCATGTCCGTACACCCCTCGCACGTTTCGAGGACCCATAGGGAACTCCACTGAAGTCCCCAGCGGCAGGTCTTGCATGCGGTACCCGCCCCCGTTGCGGAACACCCCTCATACGTTTCGTGTGCACACCCTCATTCCAGCACACCCCTCAGGCGCTTCGTCGTCCCACCCGGAACTCCGCTGAACTCCCCAGTTCGCATGCGGTACTCGCCCCAATGTCCATACACTCCTGACATGTTTCGTGGCCTCATGGGGAGCTCCACCGAAGTCCCAAATGGCAAAATTCACATGCGGTACTCGCCTTCATTCGGCACACTCATCACACGTTTCCGGCCCCATCAAAAACCTTCCCTTCCTTTGTCCCGCCTGCCTTGCGGTACTCACGCCTGCAACCTGGATGGGTCCTTCGCCAGACAAACGTTGTCCGCGAAATTCGCCGGATGCTATTGTCGGGAGCGGCCAAGAGGGGGGTGTCCAAGAGGGGGGGGTGCAAATCATGACCGGCGGCATGTGCGCGGCCCAGCGGGGGGGACAGGGACGTCAAGAAATAAGAAGAGGCGCCATGAAATCTGGGGAAATATCATGACCCACGCCATGATATCCACCCCCCCCTAGTCATCACCCCTCTCTTTTCCGCCCCCGATATTGTAATCCCTTGCAACGGTTGCGTGTGTCCCAGGCAAGCGGGGCCCAGACATCCGACATCGCGTTTTTGCTGCAGTGTGGCTCCTCAGAGATCGGGGACCCCTCCCCTCGCTTTCGGACGACCCCGAGGCCAAGTCTCACTCGCACTGATACTCGCTCATACTCAGACTCACTCATACTCAGACTCAGTCGCACTCAGACGCGCTCGCATCCCCCCCCATTCCTTTCTCAGACTCAGTCATACTCACTCATACTCAGGCCCGCTCAGAGTAACCCACACTCTGACTCACTCATGCTCAGACTTACTCACACTCAGACTCAATCGCAATCAGTCTCACTCATACTCAGACTCACGCACACTCAGACTCACTCACACTCAGAGTCGCACTCTCAGACTCGCTCACGATCAGCCTCACTGACACTTGGACTTGCGACGCACTCGCAGTCAGACTCGCACATTGTCAGGACGTCTCAAGCAAGGCGCTGGCTTCAGCACCCCGAGGGGGAGCCGCCAGGGGTGGTTGCACGGCCCCGTTCGCACCCTGATTGAAGGGCTGCCTCGGGCGGTTCGCTGGCTTGGTTGCCCAGACTCCTCTGCTTTCCGTTCACGCCCACATTCTGCAAAGTCCCAAGCAGTTTGCCTGTTTGGCTGCCCAGACATTGTCTGCTTTTCAGAACAGAGCGTGAGAATGTCTCGAGCGAGGAGCTGGGAGGACGAGGATGACTCGCTCTCACCCACTGACATTCATTGTCAGAGACCCGCAGCCAAATTATGTCAGTGAGATGAGATGCACACATGGGGACCTCCAGAATCTACAAGCCCCAACTCCCGCACCGATCCAAGAAATCCGCACGGAGCATCGAAAGTTTCCGTTTGTGGCCCATTACGCAGTTGCTTCTTCTTCTTCTTCGAGGAACGGTATCGGCGATGGCACCTCGTCCTCCCCTGACCTCCTCAGACGAGCGACGCCCTGCCCGTGAGTCTCCCCGAGCTGCGCCTGGCTGGTCCACTCGGCCGCCGTGCACGGCCGCCGCTCCAGCATCGGCGGCTGCAAACCTTGCCTGGGCCACCCAAACGGTGTGGTGACGTGGTGACACTCCGCGCGGTGACCTCGAAATTCGAAAAGACCTGAGAGCCTGGGGTTGTACTTTTGTCCGACAAAGCGCTTGCGCTCGGCGTCGGGCCCCCACGCAGATTGGTCCGGCTCGAGAATTGGCGCAAAAAAATATGGTGGCTGGGGCTCCAGACCTGATTTTTCACGATTGTGTATTTCTTCTGCGACGTCGGATCAAAGAACGGTGTGGTGACGGACCGCGCGGTGACCAAAGACCTCACCGTACGGTCCGTCCTCGCACGGTGCTGGGACCCTGGAAGCCACAGTCGCCCGATGCCATCCTCGGATGACGACCCGACTCTCAAAATCGTGCGGTGACTCAAATTCCCACTGACGCATCACATGGTGTTGTCAAAGACCGGAGGGGTATTAATTAGAAGAAGAAGAACATCAATAAGAAACTTAATAATAATAATCATAATCATAATCATAATAATAATGCAACTAATAATAATAATAAATAATAATAATAATACTAATAATAAAAATATTAATATTCATAATAATAATAATAATAATATATAATAATAATAATATTAATAATAATAATAATAACAGCACAAAAGAATAATAAGAAGAAGCGTCGGAGCAAGCATATTTTTGTTCGCAAACCAGCAATGGTTGTTTGGATCGGCGCTGGACTCTCTTCCCTGTTGCGCGGAGCGCGCCATGGGCGGCGCCAGAAGCGCCGCTCAAGGGACCAAGCGTCAACCAAAAAAAAAAACAGTGCGGCCCTCCGAAAGTTTGAATGCCGATGCTGTTGTTTCGGCTATCCCCCTCCTAACGTTGCCCCTGATCTCCGCACTGTGGCCGAAAGACTGGCCGCGATGTATCTAGACGCCCGAAATGCATATGGGAGAAGTTGCTATGACACCCATCAACCACAGTTTTCCGAGAACGACAGCGGCAGCTGTTGGGCAGGCGGCCTTCTGTCTCAAGTGGACAACGTCCGCTGCGACACCGACGGCGAGCCCTGCTCAAAGTGGACAGGGACTGCTATCGGTCTTCGTGCCCATTCTTCCTCCACTTCTTTTGATCCTACCGCGGTGACCGCACCACTCGGGTCGGGCGAAAGGGGGGGATAGCAAAGGGGGGGTTTGAGAATCAACTCACGTAGCTGATTTTCCCGGTGGGCGGCTATGTATCGAGGAATGGGCCCCTCGGTGAGGCCGAAACCAGCTGCATGCAGCAAATTTCGTACCCCCCCTTTCCCAATCCCCCCCTTTCGTCCGGCCCGAGCCACTTGAGCGACGGAACGAAACGGGTCTTACGCGAAGTGACACTGCGACCTTACGCCCTGGCCTACGCGGGCCGCCAGCGCGGCCCGCTGCACTGCAGACGAGGGGACCTCAGCGCGGCCCTCCGCGGGCAGCCGGCGCCGCCGGTGTGGGCGAAGCCGACCCCGCTTTCTCCAGTCGCTCACTTGGGAGCTCCCGACAGACCTGCGACTCGGCGCCCGTCGGCGCCGCGCAGCGGCGGCGAGGCGACCCGCCGGGCCCCCTCGCAGGACGCCTTCGGGGCGGCGGCCCGCGGCCAGCGGCCGCGACGCGCGACGCGACCGCGGCCGCCGAGCCAGGATGGCTGCGGCACGACGAGAGCGGCGCCCCTGCACCGCACTCAGCTGTGGAAGCTCAGGAGGAGGAGGAGGAGGAGGAGGAGGAGGAGGAGGAGGAGGAGGAGGGGTCCGAGCACAGCGGGGCGGAGGATTGCGCCGCATTGGCGATGCATCGGCGGCGTCGGCGGTGCACCGGACCCGACGGCACGGGGAAAATCGGGCTCCGCATCGGGCCGCATCCGCATCGCCGATGCATTCGGCGGTTCGGCGCGATCCTCCGACCCCATCAGCTCGGAACCCATCTGGGAGGCCCAAACCTGAGGCTCCACTCGAACCCCGCTACAACGCGGTACGGTGCGTAATTTTCCGGCCCTGGAGGCCGAAAGACTGCACCGTACCACTCCAGGGTCGAGGATCGACTAGGGGGCCACATGCGAACCCCTACCCTTCGTTCGGGAGCTTCGTTCGTGGGGGGTAGGGGTAGGGTTCGCATGTGGATCGAGGATCGACGACGCCTCACGAGACGCCAGCGCGGTACGGTGCATCCGAATCGTCCGCGGAGGCATGCGGAGGGGCGGCGGCGGGAGGAGGGCAGGCTCCGGGCAGGAGCTGGCCCAGTGCGAGGGCGCCTGATGACGCACCCAAGTCTCCGGCGGTATGAGTTGCCTCAATATCCTCCTCCTCCTCCTCCTCTTCCTCCTCCTCCTCCTCCTCTTCCTCCTCCTGGATGGGGCCCAATATCCTCTTCCTCCTCCTCCTCCTCTTCCTCCTCCTCTCCTCCTGGATGGGGCCCAATATCGGCACAGAAAACCTATCCCCTGGGGATGGGATCGGCAACGCTTCGAAGCAGTAACCAGGCGAAAGGCCCTGAACAGATGCAGTTGTGGGTGCCGCGTTGTGGGTACCGCTCGGTGGAACTCGCTATGGGGCCGCGTGAGGTGTGTCTTGTAATGGGTGGGGGAGACGCATGCGGCCGCGGACACTGACGCCTTCGGTGGAGCTCCAGATGGGGCCACGAACCGCGGTACTGGACGGAGGAGGCGCATGCGGCCGCGGCCACTGGGGCCTTCGGTGGAGCTCCGTGTGGAACTACGAAGCGACGCACTGGGTGAGGGAACCGCATGCGAACGCGGCCTCTGGAGCCTGCGGTGAAGCTTCCTAGAGGGGCCACGAGACGCTGTAGTGGCTGGGAGAGACGCACGCGGCCGCGGCCACCGGGGCGTTCGGTGGGGCTCCCTATGGGGTTGGGTTGGGGAGGGCATGGAGGCGCATGCGCTCGCGGCAACTGGAGCCCGGCGCAGCCACCGACGGGGCCACGAAGCGCTGTACTGGGCCGGGCAGACGCGTACGGTCGCGGCCACTGGAGCGTTCGGTCAAGCTCCCCATGGAAGGGGCCACGCAGCGCTTTACTGTGTGGGAGACGCATGCGGCCCGGGCCGCATGTATCTTCGGTGGAGCTCCCTATGGCGCCACGAGGCATTGCACTGGGCGGGGGAGATGCATGCGGCCCGGGCCACTTGTGTCTTCGGTGGAGCTCCATATGGGGCCACGAGGCATTGTACTGGGTGGGGGAGACGCATGCGGCAGGGGGCCACTGGGGTTTTCGGTGGAGCGCCCGATGGGGGCACGAGACTCTGTGCGGGGTGGAGGAGACGCATGTGGCCGCGGCCACTGGAGCCCTCGGTGGGACTCCCAATGGAGCCACGAAGCGATGTTCTGGATGGCGCGGACGCATGCGAATGCTGCCACTGGGGCCTTCGGAACAAGCTCTTTATGGAGCCACGAAGCGCTGTACTGGGCGGCGTGGGCGCATGCGGCCGCAGAAATTGGGGCCTTCGGCGGTGGAGCTCCCTACAGGGCCACGAACCGCTGTACTGGGTGGCGTGGGCGCATGCGAACCTGGCCGATGGGGCCTTCGGCGGAGCTCCCCATGGGTTCACGAAGCGGCGCGGACGCCTGCGAACGCGGCCGCTGGGGCCTTCGGTGGAGTTCCCTGGGGCAGGGGGGGCACGGAACGCTGCGCTGGGTGGCGCGGGCGCATGCGAACGCGACCACTGGGGCCTTCGGTGAGGTTCCCCATGGGGCCACGAAGCGTTGCACTGGATGGCGCGGACACACCAGACGCGGACACTGAGACCTTCGGTGAAGCCCCCGGGGGGGGGGGGCACGAAGCGCTGTACTGGGTGGCGCGGACGCATGCGAACGCGGCCATTGGGGCCTTCGGTGGAGCTTCCTACGGGGCCACGAAGCGCTGTACTGGGTGGCGCAGGCGCATGCGAACGCGGTCTCTGGGGCCTCTGGTTGAGCTCCCAATGCGGCCACTATTCTTGTGAGGGCTGTGCCGTAATGGACATTCTGAGGGCAGAGGCAGGGGTGTGAGGAGAAAGGGAGAGGGGGAGGAGGAAGGAGGGATGAGGAGTGAGTGACGCGGGGCGCTGTCTCTTCAAAACGAGGCTTGGGAACAAACATGCTCATCCCCCCCAAAACCAATCCGCAGAAACCACCTGCACGCCTCCACCGTGCCTGGCAGGGCCTTCCATTGCACCAGCACGATGTATACGCCTTCCTGGCCTAGGAGGGAGGATAGCCTACGCACCATCCAAAGGTCCAGAATGGTCCTGGCAAAGCAGGATGGTGTGGAGGCCGCCTGAATGGGGCCCGAGCAAATGGGGTCGCAAGATCGCACCGAATCGGCGATGACGCTTCGGAAGCATCCGCCCCTTCTACTCAATCCCCATTTGGGGGACGGAGAAAAAGCACTACCGATATCACTGATTACTTGCCAGACCTCTTCCGCGGTGCATCCCGACCAGAATCACAAGGCGCATCCAGCTGTGGTGACGAGGCCTCTCCAGGGCGAGCAGCGGCATCTCTGGACACCCGAAACGGGTACGTACCGAGAACGCGGGCACGATGCCCGACAACAGGTGCAGTCCAAAACCAACAGCGGTCGCTGTTGGGCAGGCGGCGGCTGTCTGTCTCCATTGAACGACGTCCGCGGCGACACCGACAGTGAGTCCTCTTCAAAATGAGAGGTACGCCACCACGGTGTCTAGGGCCCCGTGACTGAGTCTCTAACTGCGCGTCCCTGTGCAACCCACAAGCCGACCTGCAGGTGCACCGAGGCCTGAGTGAGAGAGAGAGAGAGAGGGTCGGCCTTTGTGCCCATGCCCATCCCGGTCGTCCCGAGCCTGTCGTCCTCTGAGTTAGGGAGGCTCGGATCCTGCCAGCCGTGAGACAGCCGCTCTCCCGCTCCGTCCCGCCGCCACCGCGGAGCCCCCTCCGTCGGGAGCGGCCAAGAGGGGGGTGTCCAAGAGGGGGGGGTGCAAATCATGACCGTCGGCATGTGCGCGGCCCAGCGGGGGGGCCAGGGACGTAGTACGTAGTGAAATAAGAAGAGGCGCCATGAAACCTGGGGAAAGATCATGGCCCACGCCATGATATCCACCCCCCCCTAGTCAACACCCCCCTCCTCCCCCTCCTCCTCCTCCTCCTCCTCCTCCTCCTTTTCATGCCCCTCTCCTCCTCCTCCTCCTCCTCCTCCTCCTCCTCCTCCTCCTCCTCCGCCCCCGACCCCGCGGCCTCGGACTCGAAGGCCCTGAAGCGGGCGTGGTCCCCGAGCACCGTCACGCCGACGAGGCGCGGGTACAGCGCATCGAGGCCCTCGGAGCCCTTCGTGACCTCTCCGCGGGCAGGGGCGGAGCATCGCGGGCGGCCGGGGGACCGCCTGGGACGGCCACAGCGCTGCTGCTTCCCAGCCTCGTCCACGAGGGGCCATCCCACGACTTGCTAGCTACAGGGCAGTTATTAGTACATAGGATTCTTAAACATATAGGATCCTTAATTCATGATTAACGTATGAGTAAATGTATGCATGAACTCATCCCTGTTTTTAATGCTAGATCCCTGCACGTTTAGTACATGATCCGCACGCGGAGCATGTGTAAAAAAAACGGCACTGTACTATGTATGCCCCGTGGGTCTGGCTCGTTCATGGCTGTAGATCCAGGTGGCGGTGGCCACAGCCACATCCAAGCAGGGCGGCGGGCATCACGCCGACGCCGAGGCCGCCGCCGACTGCGGAGACGGGGCGCGCCTGCGGTCCACGCCGGGGCACGGCGTCGGGGCAAGGCCCACTACCCCGCGAGGATCTGGGCAACACCGCATCGTTGGGCGGCGGTGTGGCCTTCTCCCGAGCAGCATGACCTCTCCTGGTCCGCGCCTGTCCCCCCCAGTAAGCGGACCGGGTGGGCGGACACCCAGGGCGATGACGGCAGTGTGGTATCGACATCGAAGAGGGGGCCGAGAGAGGCATTGAAGCGGCATTCCCAAGGCGAGCGACGACTCGACGGTGCCTCAAGATGAAGGCCTCGCCAACAGGTGATTCATACGTCTGTGCGCCATTCGAAAAGGGCTGGCGCAAATCGCGGGAGAACACGTGGCCGAAGCTGTGGCTGATGGAGACAACAGTGAAGTATGCGAATGCCCTCAACCGAAGACCTGGCAAACCAATGCATATACCCGCCATGCATTGACCGAAATGACAAGCACGTAGCCTGCATCAGGAGGCCTGCCCCTCCAGGCATTCGAGACAAACTGCACAACAAAGAATCCTGAACATGATCCGAAACGTAGACCAGGGACCCAGAACATACAGGTCTGGTTTTCCAGCCGCATCTACGCAACGTGTTTTCCATGCTTGATAGTTCTTGATGATCTGGGTGTGATATATACGCTGTACATGTGTTTCGCTACAGAGGTGCGAAGAGGGAGAATAGAGGTTAAAAGGGGGAGTGCAGAAATCACTCTGCCTTTCCGGAATCACTGCCGCCCAAACATCAGGGCACTGGAATTACTACTGCGCGCTGTGGAGACATCCCCGATGCGGTTCAGTTCCACGCCTCTTCTTCTTGCCATCAAAGGCTTCGAGGGCTCTTGTAAACTCATATTGGTAGCGGAGCCTGTCGACTGCTCGACACGCTCGCCTGCGCCCTCCATCGTTATGCGGCCCGCGC